TTCAGTTAACCCTTGTGAGGGACTGGAGAGCATTATGCTAAGTGAACTCAGTCCCATAAGGACAAATACTGTATAATAATACCATTATTATAGAATATGTATGAGGATCCAAGGGGGGAGGGTGAGAGCAGAACAGTGAGGAAGGGCGGGGGGGGGAAGGGTTGGTTAATCGTGGATCACACAATTTGATGGGTGGAGGAAGGGGTGGGTAAAATAAATGAGAAAGATCCTGTGTGTAAAACAATATATATGAACTTTTTAAGTAGCCTAGTATAATATAAATAAAAAACACTGTAAAAGCAAAAAAAAAAAAAAAAGATACACTTGACCACAATTCAAAAAATGTAATCAGTGCCATTAAATTGTCTCTCTAGAACTGATCATGTATGATTTGCTGTGCATTTTCTCAACAACAGAATAAATAAAATGTCAAAACTCATTTCATTGCCGTTGAGTAGGAACTGACTCACAGCTGACTCTCTAGCTGGTTTTAAGAAGCTTTAAGTTGCATAGTTTTGACAGTTGTAAATGGTAAGAGGAGATTGCCCATCATTCTCCTGTGGAGCAGCTGGTGGATTCAGACCACCTGCATTTATGTTAGCAGCACGACTTACCCACTAGGCTGCCAGAGCTCTCTAAATAAAATTCAACGATGGAAAAAAAATTACACACACACACACACACACACACACACACGCACGCGCGCGCGCGCCAATTCATAGAGAAGAATGTGTCTTGTTTTAAAGAATGATAAGCTAATATGAAACAGGAAATAAATATGAACTAAATAAATCTAAAGCCTACAGGGGAAGAAAAGCAAAACATTGTCATGTTTAATGATACCCAAGGTAATGTTCACATAGAACATCATTTCCTTCTGATGCCTGATACATTTAGAAAGTATGGATAGAGGTCCTTGGCTGGTAGCCATGGTCTGAGTTGGGCTACTAATAAGATGGGTCAAGCCCAGCTAGCAGGGAAGAAAGACCTGGAAATCGACTTCCATAAGCTCACATCCATTGACAACTCCATGGAGTGCAGTTCTGCTTTGAAACACGTATTTGCCATGCGTTGTAACTGATTTGACAGCAGGTTTACATAAAGTAGCTCTACATAAAAAGGTTTAAGTGAGAAAATATATGGAATCTGTTCATAACAAAAAAAAAGATGGTATGGATACAGAGGGTAGTGGAAGAATTTTGACACTGTTCTGTGGGCCTAGGACCAACATGTGATCATTGGTCCTGACCACAGCACCCATAGTGCCTGTTAGCATCGGTTCCAGGCTCTGTGTGTGAACCGTAATGATACTGCTCTGCCTCAGAGGGAAAGAGAAATATCAGTCATGTATTATAATAGCAGGGACTCAATAGAAGCAAAAGGCAACTTGCAAAACCACCGTGGCGGTGTTTAGTTTCATATATTTTCTTTTCCAAGTACATTTACATAAATCTGTACTCTGGTTAAAATATGCGCTGTTTAAATTAGGATGTCTGCAGAAAATATTTAGTAAAGCAAGATGAAAATCTATGTATGCCCTGCAGAGGTGAGTATCATGGATGCCTATAAATGGTAAATGCCATTTATGATGTTCATGAAATTCATAAGGCAATACAAAAAATTTTCTTCATTTCTGTTTTCTATTTTCCTTTCCTATTTTTCTCAGAGACTCTTCTATTTTTAAATGGCGTCCATTGCTTTTCTGTTCTTATTAAGTTAAAGCTTCATGGTAATGGGGGTGGGAGTGGGAAGCCCAAAATTAGATTCAGAAGTTTAATTTGCTTTCTTCTTAGGTTGCTGTGCAATTTCATCAGCCTTTCTTTTCCCATTGACTCAGCCGGTCTGCCCCAAGTCAGCATTGTTTGAAGTTTATTTCTTCTAAAACTTACATTTAAGTTTTAAAAAACAACATAAGCTTCAAACTGACCTCAGAACTTCAATGTCAGTTAATTACTTTCTTAATATTCACATTTTCTTGTTAGATATTTTTGTAGAAGCAAATGTGCAAGCTTTCAAAATTTTATTTTTATGTTTTAATGTTTGAAAGGGAACATTGTCAGCAATAATCGAACACTAACTCATTAACTATTACGTGTCTATGTCCTTGGATTAGTTGCTAAGTTTTACATTTATTAGCAGTAAAAAAATGCATGTAAATAAGCCACGGACACCAAGTGTCTGTGAAACATAACTTGGGAGACATAAAGCCCCTATTCCGATCTCTGATCCTTTCTCACAAGACAAGTGTGAAGAGTAAGTATAAACTCTGTTCCAAACCAAAAAGGAAACCAAACTTGTGGCTGAATCAATTCTTTATGTGCTACAGAGTAGAATTGCTTCATAGGATTCCCTTGTCTCTGATCTTTGCAAAAGATGATCTCCAGACCTTTCTTTTGTGGTGCCCTTGCTTGGGTTCCAACTGCCAACCAGTGCAGCAGGGGGCTCAAGTGTGTCAGAGATGATGAGGATGGTGAAGCCTAGCACAGGGCTCAGATCTGTTGTTTATAGGGTAGCTGTGGGTCGTACACAACTCTGTGGCACCTAATGACTCATGAAGCTTTCCCGACTCTGCAAAACAGTGTTGCTGTTGTTGTTGTTATTATTCTTAGGTGCCATCAAGTCATAGACAACTCATAGCAACCTATGAATGAAAGACTTGAACACTTGTATAACTTTCATCGCTTCTCCATGTTCATAGAGTTTCTGGAGGCAAGCTATTTCGGAAATGGATGTCATGCTTGCTTCCAGGCTTGAGCTTATTTTAATTGGGAAGCTCCACCAAACACTGTCCACCACGGGTAACCATTAACACATCAGTGTCACAGTGTTGTGCATAAAAGCAACCACGAGTTACCTCTGTACAGCAAGTGGACAAACCAGTGCCATGCCACTTAGAAGACTGTTTGACCAAAAAACAATTAAAACCAGGCCTGAGGGCTGCAGATTAAAATCACCCACTTTTGGCTTGGTAGCAATAGAGCTCTCTTTATGTTGTTGGGTGCAACTTGTCATAGACGACTTATAGCAACTCTATGTAGAACTTGCCTATTGAGGTCATGCAGAGCTGGCGTTTGGCACTGGTGTAGTTGACACAGAACTGGCCCCTGATGGCTGCCTAGTTCAGGTCTCCACCCTGCCAGCCAGCCATGTCTCAAGGAGGCCTGGACCCACTCTGAGTAGTACAGCTCAGCCACATCTTGACAAGCATGAGGATCACTGCAAGGCGATTGGCTTGTGCTAAGGGGCTGGGCACCCTTAAAGGCATCCTTTGTTTTGATACTCTTAGGGTCAGTTCTGAGTAGTGACTTTGTTCTCTTGCCACACAGGTGGTAGGAGAGCCCTCCGTGAGGCTGTGTTTTGAACTTGACTGTGGTTCTGTGCTTCTGTTGTTGTATACCTTAGGCAGGTCCTGGTCCTGATGTGGGCTCAACTTCTCACCTAGGTGATACCCCTCCTCCACCACAGCCAGAAGGAACCTGTCAACATGAGGGTAGGTTAGCTGGTTGGTCACAGGTTCCATATTGGGGCTGAGGACATACTGGGTGCTCCCTGTCTTTCTGTTTGGGTCTCAGGTGCATCCTTATGGCTCTCTGCCTACAGTTGCTGCCTGCCCATTTGCCTACCTTGGTTTTGAGTTTGTTTCTTGAGCCTGGGACTGATGCCAGGACCTGGTGGGCACTCCCAGTCCGCATGCTTTGGTCTCCTTGCATCCTTTGACTAGACTCTGTGCCAGGCCCTTGTGGGTATTCCCTGCCCACCTTCAAGCTGTGTGAGACTGAAGGGGCACACTGCATGAATGCCACTTGGGAAGGCCAGTGCTTCCTCATGCCACAAGGTGGCCTGTCATTCCAAGGACCTGTATTCTCTGAGCTCTCATCAAGTGGAGTTGCAGGAACACTTTCTCTCACTTCCTTGTGTGGGGTATCACCCCTTCCATCCCAGAGGCCAAGTCATATACGTGCACCTGGAGAGGAGTCACTCAGAGTGTTGAAGAGAGTCCCAGGTTTGGGGAGAAGCTCAGGGTCTCAGGGAGTCCATTGATGGCTGTGATGAAACTTGATGACAATTTCACACAGAAAGTATGGGTGTTTTGTATTTAGAGGAATTTTTCCACCTCTAATTCCTCTAATGATTGTAATAGCTGTACATGTTGAATATAGCAAATTGGAAACACACCAGAGAGTGGGAAGGGAACATTGCTCTTCATTGAACTCCCCGTGGAGCAAAGCTTGTTTAATTTTGTCCTTATCTCATATACTTATTAATTTGTTAGCTAACATTGGGAAGCAGGAATGGCATCTACTTCCTAAACCACTTGCCTCTGGAAACTCTATGAACTTGGGGAAACAACCATAGCTATGGAAAGGCATTAGGTCTTTTGTTCGTAGAGTCACTATGAGTCAACCTTAACTCCACAGCAATCAATAACACAAGTCCAGTCTCCTAAACTCTAATTCAAAAACGTGGAAGAGCTTGCCTTCCTTCTCCCCTTTCTCCGTTAACTCTGAGACACGTTGCTCCATCAGGTCGGCTGACTGTAGATTCTACTACTAGCATTAGGCATTCCTGGAAAGAATTAAGCCCCATCAGAATAAAATTCTCTTGACTCTTTTGTTTCTGGGAAATCACATTGACATGTAGTATTTATCAGTAATGTTCAGGTCTTCAAGGTTTGTGGGGTTTTTTCCCTGTCCCCTGTTCTAAAGAATTAGCAATAAATGCTTACTCTGGTGCCATTCTGTGCACCTCATTATGTTTTAATGACTTTTTTTATTACCCAGCATCCTAACATAACCGTTTCCTATGTTCCTTATTAAGGTTTGAACAAGCTTTTATTGCCAGTTTGATCAGCAGTGTGGCAAAAACGAAAGACAGTTATTTTTGGATAGCTCTACAAGACCAAAATGATACAGGAGAATACACTTGGAAGACAGCAGGGCAGAAACCTGAGCCGGTGCGGTACACACACTGGAACGCACACCAGCCACGTGAGTGGAGTGGATTGTCCCACCAGCCCTTTCTCAGTTACTACCCTGTGCTCTGTTCCTGAAATGCTTTGCAACCCTTCATCCATCCATAATCTTTATCCTTCCCCACTATATTTTCAATATCTAAATCAATCAAAGCTATTATCCTTGGTTTATAGAGAGTGGATAAGATTGGTTGGTTGGTGTTTTTTTTTTAAAAAAAATGTAACCTATATGAGCCACTTGACATGTTCACAGTATAAATTCATTGCTCAGGGACCTCACGTACCTTTATTAGTAGGAAAATAATTCTCTCTGTCTTGAGCTTCTTCCCTCCCCATCACCTCTCATTGTACAAGACTGTCAACTATCGCTCTATCTTGAATAGTTATACATCAACACACAATGGAGAACTGGAATGGTAACACAGAATCAAGAAATCACAGAGCTCTGGTATAGTCTGCAGAGAGTCATGCTATTAACCCAAAGGCAGCACTTCTCTGGCAATTTGAATCCACTAGTGGTTCCAAGGGAGAATAAGGGGCAATCTTTTCACATGCAAATTTCAGGCTTAGGATCCCAGTGGAGGGTCAGCTCTGAGCTGACAAAGCACTTGAGGGCAATGAGAGAAAGAGAGAATTAAGAAGTTTATCCTCCATGGATTTCAATAGTTTCTTACCCAGAATTACAGGTTTATAGTTCTATCAGTTCACCCTCATGTCTTAACTTTTCATATCATAACTTTTGATCACAAAGCATGAAACTGCCAGGTTGGCCTGTTTCTGAGAAGCTAACGAACGGTTCCAGTAACCACCTCTACTAGAACCAGCCCTTGCAGAACAAACTTTATCCCTGTGCTAAGGTTAGGTCACAAGTCCAGGACACTTTTGTGCCTCTATTGATAAAAATCAAGGCTGGTCCAGTAGACTGCAGCAGGTGTGGCCTCTAAGTTTATATCTGGAGGAAATGAAATAGAGATCTCAGGCCCTCTAGATCTCAGCTGATCTACTCCCTCCTCAGAATCCTGTATACTAAGGTAGAGATGGTGCTTAAGACATATCTTCCTTTGATCGCTAATCTTTTTTTAAAAGATTAAAATAGTTCTGGTGGTTTAGTGGGTAAGGAATTGTGCTGCCAACCCAGTGTCAGGTGGTTCAAATCCAAGATGGGTAATCTCCTTCCATGCAATATATGGCCTTCAAATAACTCATAGGGGGTCAGCTAAGAATCACCTCTAACTCGGCAATACTTAACAGCATACAATTAATGTCTCTCTTTTAAGCAGTATGTAGTTAATTTTTTTAAAAAAACAACTCGTTCAGCTTTGCAGACGCTGTCGCCTCAGCAGTATAGTTCTTTGTTACGCTTGCCCCAGCCATGGTCAATCCTGTCGTGTACTTCGACATCACCAATGATGGCGAACCTTTAGGTCGCATTTCCTTTGAGCTGTTTGCAGATAAAGTCCCAAAGATAGCAGAAAACTTCCATGCTCTGAATACTGGGGAGAAAGGATTTGGTTACAAGGGTTCCTGCTTTCACAGAATCATTCCTGGGTTTATGTGCCAGGGTGGAGACTTCACACGCCATAATGGTACTGGTGGCAAGACCATCTATGGGGAGAAGTTTGATGGTGAGAACTTCATCCTGAAGCGCACAGGTCCTGGCATCCTGTCCATAGCAAATGCTGGACCCAATACGAACAGTTCCCAGTTTTTTATCTGTACTGCTAAGACTGAATGGTTGGATGGCAAGCATGTAGTCTTTGGCAAGGTGAAAGAAGGCATGAACATTGTGGAAGCCATGGAGCGCTTCGGGTCCAGGAATGGCAAGACCAGCAAGAAGATCACCATTGCTGATCTTAATTAGACAACTTATTTGTGGACAACTCTAATTATGATCTGTATTTCATGTTTTCTCTTAATCACCACATAGTTCCTTCTATAGCTCCAGAAATCACCCTGTGACCCCCAGTGTGATTGCAGTACCTTTTAATCTTTGTGCTCTTGCTACAGTTCTTTGGATTCCATGCTTTATTTCTCTCCAAGGTTAGCAGGTTTGCAGACAAATGTATGACTGAAATAAAAACTAGACAATAAAAACAAAACAAAAAACCCAGCTCATTCATAGTATTCTTTGTTTCTTAACTAGTTTGAATAACTCTGATCATTTGTGATTATGAATATAATTCCATTTGCATCTGCCATCGTATAATATCCTTTCTATTTGACCTCTATTTTTCAGTTCCATCTTGCCCCTTCTTTTATTTCTCTTTCAGATTGTTATTTATTTCATTCCTTTTCCCCCATTAATTACTTATCTGGAAGATTTATTTTACAAGTTCTTTGTATTAGTCATTGCTGTTGTTAATGTAATGCTGAATGCTTGCAACTCACAGCAACCCCATGTACAAGAGCCTTAAACTCTGCTCTATCCTGTGCCAACCTTGCTGTCTCCAACACACCTACTCCCATTACCCCAATCACCAAATCGATCCATCTCCCAAACATGATGTTCTTCTCCAAGGACCGGCCCTTCCTTGAAACATGCCCAAAATATGTCACACGAAGCTTCAGGATCCTTGCCTCCAAGGAGCAGCCTAGTTTCACCCTCTCCAGGATGAGCCTGTTTGTTCTCCTAGCAGTCCATGGTATATTCAACACTCTTCTCTAGCACCACAACTCAAAGGGATCAATTCTCTTCCTGTCATTCCTAATCACTGTCCAACTCTCTGATGCATAGCACGCAATTGCGAAGACTATGGCCCGGATCAGGTGCACTTTAGTCTCCCGTCTGACATGCTCTTCAGTACTCTGGAGAGGTCCCTGACAGCTTACTTTTCCAATGCAATTTATCTTTTTATTTCCTGGCTGCTGGTACCAAGAGTGTTGATTGTAGAGCCAAACAATCTAAAACTATTAACAATCTCAATCTCTTTAAAACATATTCTTCTTAAAAATCAAACACAAACAAAAAAATCCAACAATATCTTTATTCCAATCTTTTAAAAGTATCCTGACTTATATTTTACTATTGTTATCTGTACCACAGTACAAGTGTTAATCTGTTTAAAATCAGGAAAGATGTTTGTCAAAGTTGTGTGTTTTCACTGTATTTATTCAATCTATATACTGAGCATCTATAAGGTTTTGAAGGCCTGCTCTTTCAAAAGTGAATGATCAGTCTTGCTGTAAATAGGATACTATGCATGCACATACAAGGAAGACTGTTATTAAAGTATATATACCAACTACTAAAATAAAAGATGAAGAAATAGAGATTTCCACCAATTTTTGCAGCATGAAATTGGTCTAGTATCATTTAAATTTTATTAATACTAATTGGTGACTGGAATACAAAATTGGAAACAAAGAAGAAGCAACAGTTACTGGAAAATATAACCTTGGTGACAGAAATGAACCTGGAGATTGCATGATAAAATTTTTCACAATGAATGATTTGTTTTAATAGTTTTTTTATAAATCATAAATGACAACTATATATATGGACCTCATCTGATGGGCTGGCTACACAGGAATCAGACTGAATACAGCTGTAGAAAGAGATGTTAGATATCAACAGTTAAAACAAGGCCAGGACAGACTGGAATAGACCCACAGCTACTCATATGCAAGCGAAAATTGAAGATTAAAATAAGTTCACAAGAACTAAAATATGACCTTGAGTCTGTCCAACTGAATTTAAAAACTTTCTCAAGAATTGATTTGATGCATTGAACACTATTCACCGAAGACAAAAGACTTGTAGAATGATGTCAAGGACATCTACATTACAAAGACAGGGAGAAAAGCCCAAAATGAATGCCAGAAGAAACTTTCACTGGAATGAAAAGAAGGGGAAGGAAAGCTGAAGAAAGAGAGCTGAACAGAAGATTTCAAAGGGCAGCTTGAAAGACAAAGAAAAATATTGCCATGAAATGTACAAAGAGCTGGAGTTAGAAAATCAAAAGGGAAGAACACACTAACATTTCTCAAGCTGAAAAAAGTAAACAAATCAAGAATGATTTAGTTACAATACTGTAGAATTCTATGGGCAAAATCTTGAATGATGCAGGAAGCATCAAAAGAAGATAGAAGGAATGCACAGAGTCACTATAACAAGAAGAATTGGTAAACTAGGAACCATTTCAGGAATTAGCATATGATTAAGAATCAATAGTACTAAAAGAAGAGATCCAACATGCACTAAAAGTGTTGGCAAAAAATAAGGTCCAAAGAATTTATGAAATACCAAGTGAAGTGTTTCAGGAAACAGAAGCAGCCTGGACGTGCTTAGCAGTTTTGCCAAAATATTTGGAAGACAGCTACCTGGATTACTCTGAGAACTAATAGTTTAAGCCATTGTATTTTCAATTTCCTTATAGACATGTGAAAGTTCAATAATGAAAAGTGAAAATAAAAAAAGAATCTATATCTTTGAATTTTGGTGTCAATAAAAATATTAAATATATTAGGGGAGCTCTGGTGGCCTAGTGGCAAGGAGCTGCAACTACAATCCCAGAGTCGCATGGTTCGAATCCACCAGATGCTCGGCCAGGGAAGGAGGGACAATGTCCTCCTGTACCAGTCAGATCTGATTTAACACTCACACAAATAAAAAATAAAAAAATAAAAAATTAAAATAAAAAAATATTAAATATATCATGGACTATCAAAAGAACAGATGCTCTGTCTTAGAAGAAAGATAGCCAGTATGTTCTTAGAAAAGAGTTTTGGATGTGTTCCTCTCACATGCTTTGAGCATGTTATCAGGAGGCATAGATCCTGGAGAAAGACATCATGCTTGGTAAAACTGAGGGTCAGCAAAAAAGACTCTCAATTCAATGAACTGACACAATGACTCCAAAGTGGGCTCAAGACCAGTAATGACTGTGATGATGGCATAGGATTTTATTCTGTTGTCCATACAGTACAATTGTGTCCATAGAATCCTGCAGGAGTTCTACTGGTTGGTTTGAATAACCAATTTTTTTGGTTAGTAGCCCCAGACTTCTCCTTCTCAAT